AGAATGGGAAAATTTTTTGCAATTTACCCATCTCACAAGGGGCTAATATCCAGAATATACAAAGAACTAAAACAGATTTACAAGAAAAAAAAAGCCCATTCAAAAGTGGGTGAAGGATATGAACAGATACTTTACAAAAGAAGACATATATGAGGCCGCCGGGCGCGGTGGCTCACGCCTGTAATCCCAGCACTTTGGGAGGCTGAGGCGGGTGGATCACGAGGTCAAGAGATCGAGACCATGCTGGTCAACATGGTGAAACCCTGTCTCTACTAAAAATACAAAACATTAGCTGGGCATGGTGGCGCATGCCTATAATCCCAGCTACTCAGGAGGCTGAGGCAGGAGAATTGCCTGAACCCAGGAGGCGGAGGTTGCAGTGAGCCGAGATCGCGCCATTGCACTCCAGCCTGGGTAACAAGAGCGAAACTCCGTCTCAAAAAAACAAAAACAAACCAGAAGACATATATGAGGCCAACAAACATATGAAAAAATGCTCATCATCACTGGTCATTAGAGAAATGCAAATCAGAACTACATCGAGATACCATCTGACGCCAGTTAGAATGGTGATCACTAAAAAATCTGGAGATAAAAGATGCTCAAGAGGATGTGGAAAAAAAGGAACACTTTTGCACTGTTGGTGGGAGTGTAAATTAGTTCAACCATTATGGAAGACAGCGTGGCGATTCCTCAGGGACCTAGAAATAGAAATTCCATTTGACCCAGCAATCCCATTACTGGGTATATATCCAAAGGATTATAAATCGTTCTATTATGAGGACACATGCACACTAAGGTTCATTGCAGCTCTGTTTACAATAGCAAAGACTTGGAACCAACCCAAATGCCCATCAATGATAGAGTGGACAGGGAAAATGTGGCAGATGTACACCATGGAATACTATGCAGCCATAAAACAAACAATGAGTTAGTGTCCTTTGTAGGGACATGGATGAACCTGGAAACCATCATTCTCAGCAAACTGACACAAGAACAGAAAATCAAACATCGCATGTTCTCACTCACAGGTGGGTGTTGAACAATGAGAACACATGGACACAGGGATGGGAGAATCACACACTGGGGTCTGTGGTGGGGAGCTAGGGGAGGGATAACATGAGGAGAAATGCCAGATATACGTGATGGGGAGGAAGGCAGCAAACCACATCACCAAGTATGTACCTATGCAACAATCTTGCATGTTCTTCACATGTACCCCAAAACCTAAAATGCAATAAAATATATATTTAAAAAAAAAAGAAAAGTCCCTGAGAAATCACCTCTAACTCTCTTATTTTATAGACTAGAATAGGGACATCTAAAGAAAATAAAATCTATTTTCATAGCTAAACAATCAGTAGTACAATCTCTTAATTCCTCTTATGTATTATCTTTATCACACCCTGATTAAGTTAAAATGATAGTGACAATTTGGCCTTCTAGAAACTCTAATTTTTTTATATATATAGCATATAGGTAGAAATGCATGTTTAGAAAATTCCTAGTAAATTGCAATGGGCTTCTTAAGAATTATACCATTTAAAATTCTCTTTTCAATGCCAATAAACTAGACCACAGAGTCAACAGATCGTTGTAATTTAATAGTTTTTTCTTTTGTTCTGCTTTGAGAACAGAATCTCCAAAACCCCAGCTCTAAACTCAGGCATGTGATATGCTCTTTGATGTCATTTTTAAAGACAAAAGTAAAAAACAAAACAAAACAAAACCAAAACGAAAAAATGAATGCTGCTAACCACCTCAGAATTGTAGTCTTTTGTACAGGATTACAACAGATGCTCTGCACTCCCAATGTGCTTTCATCTATTATGTAAAAATTTTCTAATTTTTAAAATTTCCATCTCTCATGATGAAAAGAAATAGTTGTTTAATTTGAAAAGTAAAATGCTAAGTGTGAGTCAAAACAAATCTATGTGACTTTGAAATGGGGGTGATATTAGAGCCTAGATATTATTTTCTTGTTTTTTCTCAAGAATAAATAATTTCCTCAGGATACTGAAAAACCACCTCGGAAATCAAGTGGCTAAAGGTATGTGTAGTTCATGTACCCGTAAATGTCATGTAATTTAAATTAATAGAAGAGTTAGCAAAATTACTGAGTAGAGAAATAGGTACTACATTATCTAGCTGTGTATGTCCAAATGCCTATCACTAAAAATCAGATGTTAGATTTTCCTTTTGAGGACATTGCTTTGCTACATTTCTTGGAGAAGATTTGTTTTTGTGTTTCTTATAAAGAAATCCAATGAATTAAAATGTCCCATTGATTAATGGGGAGCTTAAACTTCAAAAGTTTCCTTCATTATTTCCCAGTATTAACACAGGAAATCAAAGGAGGTCATAAAGAAAGGTCTTATTATCAGAATGTTCTCCGTGGTTTTGAACGTAACAGAAAAAATGCTTCATATGGCAACATCAAAGTTTAAACTAGTAGGACTTATTGTATTGGTTAGAAGATGATAACTTTGTTTCTCTTTTTACAAAAGAAAGGGGTTGATTGTTGCTTAATGGGTTGTATAAATGTCTCTTATGCTTTGAGTCTGTTATTGCATCTGCATTTTATGAAAAACTCGTATTTTGGGCTCAGCAGATGGACTCATTTGAATTAGGTTTCGTTAGAAGAGTCTTTCCAAATTATACTATTTAAAAGATTAAAGTAGTAGACTTGCCTCAAGATTTTCTAGAACAATGGTTAAGACTCCTGAGGATAAAGAAATGGTTGTAATAAATATCCAGAACTCTCTTAGGTGGTAGGGGCAGTGTCCTTCTAGGAAAGCCATAGTGTTTACCTCAAAGCCGTGGAAAAAAACCTCATATTTTTCTGACTGACTGACCCAGATTCTTGAGCTGCAAAGCAAGTAGCCTATGAAATTTGCTTTTAATTTTCAAATAAAATTCATTTGACTAACACTCAGCATCACAACATATTGTAAAAATAGAAATTTCACAACAGTAACTAAACATAGTACATATTTGCTGCAAAAATTTCATGAGATGGGGTCAATTACTTCGGAAGATAAACTGCTTCAGGGAAACAAAAAGATCCTCAAATATTGGCAATTCTTTTTGTTTTTAGGTTTTTAATAAAGTATGTGGGAGGTAGTAACAGAGACCTTAGGATCCTGGTAAGAATTTATTTTTAAAAGCAGTTGTTAAAACGTTCTAGTTATTTTCTACTTTTTAATTAGAAGAATATAGTTCTTGTTCTTGTGCACAAGTTCTCTGAACAGATTTAAAAGAAACATGAAGGCTTTGGGGGAACAACGTGCTCACTATGGGAATAAGCTGGATGGAAAGAAAGCTGAATGGGGCAAGATGAATAGGTTGAGCACACTCAAGATCCAATTTGAAAAGCAGCCTAGGAAAAAAATTAAGTGGAATTGACCTACTTTGGTACACTATTTTTTTTCTATTCTGGGTAAGAGAAATAATAGGGACATGGGATAATATGAGATTTTCTTTCTCTTTCCCTCCTTCCATCTTCCCCCCGTCTGCTTCCCCTTCCTCTTCCCCCTTCCCCTTTCCTTTCTTCCTCCCTTCTTTCCTTTTTTCCTCCCTTCTTTCCTTATTTCCTCCCTTCCTTATTTCCTTCTTCCTCACTTATTTCCTTCCTTCCTTATTTCCTTCCTTGCTTCCTTCTTTCCTTCTGTAATAAACTAAGGAAAAAACATCATCAATGATGGGCATATAGATGGGCCTATGAAAAGCAAATTGATTTACAGCTACTCTTTGGTATTAAAGGGGGGCTTTGCCTAGAGACCCTGCAGGAATCCAAGATGAACTTTGGTGGTTTATGAATTCCTCAAATCCTCAGCATGAGCCATTTGCATTTTTCTAGAAAGAATAAACTCTTTTCTTTCACCAGATTCTCAAGGGGTTCCATGACCTTGAAAAGCATAAGGACCCTTAGCATAAAGCATTTGAAGCAAATGCAATAGTTAAACACTACTATAACTTTAACTGATATTTTGGTATAACTATGAATTTCTTAAAATTCTTTTTCAAGAAACTTTGGATGAGGGGTTTTCATGTAGCAGTACTAAAATAGGACTTTTTCCTACTTAAAATTCTCTATCTCACTAAAATTAGTGGGTAGAAGTTTGAGGGAGAAAAAGAACTTGCATAGTCTTAAATGATCTCCTCCAAAGTATTTATTACCTACATAGGGAAAAATAGTAAATTTGTAGTGGAGAAAGCCAGCATATGCCACATTAGTCAAGTGTAATAAGACATATATGCACCATTAATCCCGTGATAAGATTCTTTGAGAAAGAAATGACATGATTTCTGTGCTATTATTGCCAGCAATGCAGAACTTCCTTCCAATCTTGACACAAAAACCAGAGAGACCCAAACTGAGAGACATTCTACAAAATAACTAATCAGTAATCTTCAAAGTGTCTATATCAAGAAAGAAAAATTGAAGAGCTATAGAATGTCCTGAGTTTTGATCATTGTCCTACGCTTATGTAAAATGTTAACAAAAGGGAAATCTTCATGAGGGGCATATGGGGACTCTTTTGTAAGCCTTAATATATTTGCTATAATTCTAAATTTAGTGTAAAATAAAAAACAGAAAACAACAGTCCACTGATGACATCATTTTAACTTTTGGGCCCACCTTTGCCTAAATTCTGACAATTTTCTAACAGTACAACTAGGTAAGATAATACACCCCCTCTTCTTAAAAAGAGTAAGACAAATAAAATACTCTCTTCTTTGTTACTCTAGGCAAGGTACTTGGGCTCTGCAAATGTATTAAATTATTTTGATCTTTCTTCTCTTTTTGATTTTGTTGAGTTATAAATATGAATTCTCATTTGACTATGCGTCCTTGATTCAGTTATGCTTTGTTCTTGACCTTCATACTTTTGTGGCACATCTAGGCATGGGTCATTGACTTAAACTTCCTGATTATTGCTTTTTATGTATTTAATAATTACCAGATGGTCAGTTATGACATTTTGTTATTAAGTTTGACTTTATTGCCTTTTCTCTTTTTCATAATTTTTGCAGAATCCTTTTTAGTAGACATACTATAGTATTTACTATCAGACATCTAAGAACTCTTTGTACCAAGAGCATGTGTAGGTTATCTTGCACTGTTCCTCCATCTTTCATTCACTTAAAAAATACTTGAGTGACTACTAAGTGTCATTATTTTTCAGATGAGAATAAGACAGGCAAGATCTCTTCTGGCTCATCAATATTATATCTGTATTTCACCCCATAGAAAGGAGGAAGAAAGGAGTTTGGAATTAGTGGCTTTGCATTTAGAAGTCACTTGGAAGTTGCACACAGATAAGTTCTGCTCACATGCTTAGCCCAAACTTAGTCATGTGGTTTTACCTCCTTAGAACAAAAGTGGCATTCATGTACCCTTAAAACTTGGTGGAAGAGATTATTATTTAAAAGAAAACAGAGAATAAGGAGATATCTTCACACTGGATTTTAAATACAAGACTCATAAATTCTGATCTGCATCCTAAAAACTTCATTCTAATAGCCTTGTGGATAACAGAGTTCAGTGGAGCAAAAGTAGAAATTTGAAACCAGTTAGAAGGCTATTTGCAGTTGCTTAGGTGGTTGACTATGGCGGTTACTTGGGTGTTGGCATGACACACATTGAATCTTAACCAGTAACATGTTAAAGTCTCACTTGGAAAATAAAATCATTGTAAAATTTAATAAAATATAGACGATTACAGCTGCCTTTACATAATCATTATTTCCTCTACCTGGAGGCTGATGGTATTATTATATATACAATGGTTTTACAAGTAAATACAATAATTTACTTTTGGTTTTATTTTGGCCACCAAGCTAATGAGTCTGATTGGCTTTATAACATGATATTAGCTGAAAAACGAGTTCGCAAGTTTTTGGCATATTGCGAGTGAGAGATGATAGTGACTGGACTAAGACTGTAGTAGTGTGGATTGAGAAAAAAAGGAAAAATTGGGATTTACAGTATTAAGGGATATAGTCAACAGAACTGGCAGATGGAATGTGGGAGGTAAGAACAAGAGAAATTAAAAATGGCTCGTAGGTTTTAGCCTTTATCAATTTGGTGAGTATTTCTGCCATTTACTGAGACATAGAAAATGGAGAAGAAATGGGTTTCCAGGGGTGAGTTGAAATCAAGATTTACATTTTGGTCATCGTAGGTTTAAGGTATCAAATAAAAAACAAAATGAATGTTCAATAGTTGATTAAATATAGAAGCCTGGGGTTTAGGTGTCAGGTTAAGAGAAAGATAATCTATAAACTGGGAGTTCATACTACAGAGATGCCCCTCAGAATTTTGAAGGATTAGGCTAGGTAAATAAACCCAGGAGAAAGTGAAAAGTTCCAGGGAATGTGTCCTATAGCAATAAGAATAATAATGAAGTCTCAGAGTGAGTAGGCTTGGCTTACTTGCTGAGCTGGTAGCTCTACCTTTGGTAGCATTCACAGATGGAGAGGTACTCCTCTCCACAAAATACTTAAATTTTTATGGTGACTACATAGTTAAGTGGATAATGGCAGCTGTGGATAGGGATGTCCTAGAATTCTTTTTAGAAAGAGCCACCTAAAAGAATATGCAGTTGATAAGCCTTCAGCTTCTGCCCTTTGCTTACCCTACATTGTTTTGCACTATGATGTCTGATGTCTCTCTTCTTAACTCCTAGACCTGTTCACTGAGACCTGGTAAACGTTCAAGGTCAGTTGATACTTTCATCAGGAGAGGTCAGTGGAACTTTTCAATCATAACATAATGCTTGGAGGCATCATTTGTGCATTCTTGAACTTGAGTCTGGGTCCAAAGACTTTACAGGAATACACTGAACTTTTTGGAGCCGGCCTCTCATAGGTCAGGACAACACTCCAGATAGCAGACGCCCAGGAGTAAAATTGGGAATGATGAAGTGTTACTTTGCAGTGCTTCCACTTTGAACTTTTTATTTGGTCTCCTACAGCCTACTCTTCTGTCTCTTTCCCTTCCAGACTATCTTTTATCCTCTTGTATCACTTTTTAACAGTTCATCACAGAGGGAAAGTAAGAATTGGATGGCCTCCCTCTCATTTTGTAACACCTTGGACTAAAAGTGGATCTGTGAGTATAATCATTTCCAGAAAGGACCTGCATTGTGTGCCAGTAAATTGACTATTACCTCCAAATACATGAGCATGTAGGGGCATTGTGTGTTGGGTTGGGAGGGGTGTTTTTTTTTTTTTTCTCCTGCCAAGACAGTGCTGTTTTCCTGTGCTCCTGGTCTTTATTTTGGGGGAACCACATCTTCTATCTGATGCAACATTTTAATAAAATCAGAAGCCAATATGCCTTCTATTCTGTTCTCTCTCTCACTTTCCTCGTAAGCTCCAGGCATTATCTAAAAATCAAAGCAGAAATTATCCTTTATTCCTTTATTTGTTCAGTCATTCATTATTTATTGAGTACCTATGCCTGCTCTGCACTCTAGTGAGAATTTCAAGAACTTTGAGATATTTTTATGGTAGTTGTTTCTGTAGTGTTTATGATTTTTCTTAGGATGATATAACATATACTTTAACCATCTAAAATATATTTCTAAGTTAATATTTGATTTTGTTTGTAATTGAGTAGGTCAGTCTCAAGCTATGAATACTCAGGAATTTCAGAATGAGAGACCAACTATAGTGGGTATAAGATTGGTAGCAGGTAACTTTTCAGAAAGTCTTTAAGTGGCCTTGAAGGAAGTTTAGGGGTTGGGCAAGTCACCCGGTAGATAAATAGATCACAATCCTTTGCCAAATTTCAGTTCCTATTTTTTAGTGAGTGGGAAAGGCTCTGCAAGGACTCTAGGAGATAGTCTTGGTTCTGATCCTTCTTCTTATGTTAAAAATTATCCAACAACTTCTGCAGTGTGTTTTGCTTATTATATTCAAGTCTTTTCTCCACATAGTAAACATCTTAATTTCAAGGTCTATTTCCATCCAATCTTAGCATCTCTCTTGACAATTGGCACAATTTCTTGAATTCCCGACAGATTGCATTTGGGGAGTGTCAAATAAGTAAAATGATGTCATTCAGGTAAGGTCCAAGTGACGTTTTCAGCCTCCCTAAGGTAGCTGCTTGGGAGCTCATTAAGAATGGACCACAATCAAAGCTCAGGAAAATTCAGTCCACATTCTGGGCCTGCCCGTGTTGGAAAGTCTTGTTCTAGACAGTTATCAAGGGAGCATAAAAGTTGGACAGATAGCAAAAACAAATACTGGAGGTGAAAGAGCCCTTTCATGATGACCTCGAGTGTAGTCAACACTCGTTAAGGTGCCTTGGAGAAAGGTATACCATAATATTGAAGAGCATGATCTTTGGACCCAGAATGCTTGGGTTCAAATTCAGATGGTACCCACTTCTTCCTAGCAGATTGTCTGGATGTATTACTTAAGCCTTCCCTATCTCAGTTGCCTCATCTTAACCTGACGATAATAACACTACCTGTTCCATAGTACTGTTGTGAGGATTAAACAGGTATCTCCAAAGTGCTTAGAAGTGTCCCTGGCTAACATCATCATCATCATCATCAAATATTTATTTAATAAAATGGAATAAAATTGAAGCATAAGGATTATTTTGGAAAAAGAAATATATGAGTAGCTTAGCTAAGGAAGGAATAATGAATGAAATATTTTAAGTGCTAAGTAGTTTAGTAGATAAAGGTGACCAGGAATCACTGGGTAAGATGTTTCAGCTCAAATCTAGGGGCCAAATCATTCGGAATTAGAGACTTAGAGACTCAGAGCCAGGGCTTGGTTTCATGATGGTGTAGGTGGCAACTTAAGTATGGCAAAGAGAGCAGACAGCCAACTATGAAATAACATTACATGATCAGTGTGCTGAGGACTTTTAAAGCAAAGTAAATATTTGAACCTCTATTTAGTCAAAAAACATTAAGGCGTTCTGCTAGTACTATCAAAGCAAATAACTTTGTCATTGTATCTGTCCTCATAGAGTTTATGGTTTTGCAGGTAGCCAGATTTTTAACAACTTCAGTAAAGTATGATGGCTGTGAAGCGGGAGAATCCCAGATGGCTGTGGAGAACATCTCCTGGTCTGCTTCTCTCTCTGTTTACTCCACACTGCCAACTGATGCACTTGAAAACCTTTCAAATCTCATTCACAACCTACCTTCATCCCAAAGTCATTATCGATGATTTCAATACTTTTATTTTTTCTGGTTCATAATTCTGTCATTCTACAAACATGCACTGCTATTCTGAGTTTTTGTATTCTTCTGAACTTGTACAGCTTTCTCTCAAGAAGAAATAGGGACAGAGTTCCAGACTATTATGGCTACTGATACTTCCATGTATCCTTTTCTGGAAATCCTGTGGAATTAGGGATTTATCCTCTAAAATATAAATATTTTTTTTTCTCCCAGAACATACACTCTTTTGAAGTCTGGGGTATCCCTCTGTAGCAAGCATTTACTCATCAATTTTCACTCCCACTTCAGTAGAGCCTTTTCTGTAACCTGGGTTCTTTGATAAATGTATTTTATCTTCATTTTTATCTGAAAGAGCCAAGTTCATGATCAAAGTTGGGACGTCAGATACCCTGGTACCTTGAAGAAGAAAACAGTTCTGGGTTTTATTTGCAGTACATTTTTCTGTGATTAGTTCATATCTTTTTTCTTAGCAGGACTAAGAATGTGGGATATATATTTTTTAGCTACTGAAAACATCACTCATTGAATGAACCAAAAAAGATAAAAGTTAAACTCTTACTGCCGAGGCAATGGATAATCTTAGCGAACATTGTTAATAAAATTAAAGTCTTAAACAGCAGTCTCCTTATTTTTCTCCTTAAGTTTGATGTGGCATGAGATAAGAGTCACATAGCAGCAAGTCCAAATTAACAACTGGAAACCTTCAAATTGCAAGCTCAAAGTGGCTGATTACAAGACAAATGATTTTTAAAACATGGTGAGACAGGCAATTATCTATTATCTCTCATATTAAGTCTGATCTTTGCACTGACTCATTTTGGGCCCTCTCTGTCTCTGGAAAATACCATCTGTACAAAACTGCAAGGTCCAAGACAGTGATGATCTGCTAGGCATATGCACAACAGATGGTTGAAAAAATTATCTGCCCATTTAATTGCTACATTACTCATTTCCGCCACCTTGTTGCCCATGAAAATATAGGGCTGCATAAAGCCAGTGTTTAGGTCATTTCTTATGTTGATTCAGAGAGGTCACTTGGCATGACTATCTGGAGAGGGGTAGAGGAGCCAGCATCCCTAGACAATGATTACTTTTACGGGGTGAGAAAAAAGTAAGATAATGTCATTCAGGTAAGGTCCAAGTTACATTTTCAGTCCCCCTAAGGTAGTTGCATGGGAGTTCTTAGGGAATGGACTTCTGTGAAAGCTCTGAAAAATTGAGTCCACAAGGCCAGCCTGGTTTTAGAAAGTCTTGTTGTAGACAGATACTGAGAGTGCAAAAAAAGCTGACAAATAGCAAAGGCAAATGCTGGAGATGAACGGGCCTCCGGATAACCTTGAATGTTGCTGCCTCCATCATATCCACACTGAAATCAAAGGCCAAATTTGCTGTTTGAACTGTCCTAATCCTTCACTGGGGTAAATCACCAATGTTTGGAATCAGATATTTCTTAATTTCCTCTTATACCCATGATTCAGAAAAGAAAAAAAATCAAACCAATACTAGACAAATTGAGTATTCAGTGCTTAAGTTGACTGAGTCTTGGAATAAGTCATATTCAATTAATGTGTTTTTGCCCAGAGTTAGACCTAATAATATTACAATGAAAGCCAGGTGAGTTGAAAAGGTCACACTAGAACTCGTCGTCTCTACCACAGTATTTTCCTCTTTCCGTTTAATTGAATTTTAAGTAGGTTTATAATAAGTGGGTAAAACCACTGTACTGTTTCTGCTGCTTGGTTTTAATTAGTGGCTGGGAATAACACAGTCCTGGGTTAACCCTTTAGCAGTGAAAGGTTTATTTTGAGGCCTGATTAGAAGTGAAAGAATATGCTGTATTAGATTTTATTTTGAGTTACAGTTCTATCATTTCCTCAAATGTACTATACATTAGCTTTGTGTCAGGTACTATAATGGGGATAGAGCATTGTTGTCTTTGTGACCCTTACATTGTATAAGATCACATTATTGTTTAGACTTAAATAAGAAATATTTGAGAAAAGAACTCTTCTGGAAAAACCCTGACACTAATAGTAAAACAAATGTAGAGGAATATTAGATTTAGTGTACTCGATCCACTCTATTCATGACTGCAAATGACCACTCTTCTCGCCAAAATTATTTTCCACTCTCATTGAAAATATTGGTTATAATTCTTAATTTTAAGGATGTTATCCAGTGTAAGAAATACCAAAAACCATTTTAAACATCAAAACATATCTTTTTATATAATTTCTGCAAAAATGGCCTAATAGCCAAAGAATACTTGTGACGTTATGGTTAAGTGGCAAGCAGAGCCCAAAGATATTAAGGCTTCTGGGTGAAGCTTTGCAAGGAGCACACACACATTGAAATAAGAAAGGTCTCTTCACATTTTGGCCTAGAAGCTATATAACGTGCTTGTTTCACCCCTTCCCTCTTCACTCTTTTCTTTTATCCAGAAGATGCTAGTATGGAATAAATAATGTGGTGAAGTGGCTTTGCTATTTATGGTTTCCTAAGGCAATGACTATTTTACAAAGATTAGTTCTACTGGAAGTCCTAGGTTTCCTGTTTTTATTATCCACACTTCACATGGTGGTTTAGACTAAATTGGCCATTGCAGAGTTTGGAAAGCAGTCTGTTTAACACAGTAAAATTGTGCTGCTACTTCCATACCCATCTCTCACAGCCCGCGTTCTGGGGCTGATCAGATACACATTTGCTAACACAGAACAAATAAAGGCCTCATTTCTCACCTGTTGTTGAAGTTAGCTCCTCTTTAAGGTTTACTTACTTCAGTCGTGTTTATTTGGCTTACGGAGTGGATATCAGGAAACAGGTAACCTGGAAGGAGAGATGCCGATTGGAATGTAATTTTTGTTTCATCCAGAGGAGCTCCTTTACAGCTGGGACTTTCCCGCCCCTGACCAGCAGTGCTGAGGGCTCAGTAATGAACTCAGCTTGCCTAGTAAACCCCTAACAGGGAAAGCAAACATCTTTAGATGCAAATATCACCTGAAGTGAACCAGATTAAATCCTTGGTGAACTCTTACAAATAGAATTTCACTTCTAGAGAATTGTCAGCATACTCAGCAGAATACAAAGTTATCTATTCCATGGGCATGGTAATTTAGCTAGTCAGCAGCAGGAGACATAATAATAGGTACACAGAGATTTGTAATAACAGATAATGAGGTAGACTCAGTAGGTAATCCCAGCACAGAATAACTTGGCAGAGAAGGGAAGGTCAGATTCAGACACCGTTGCGATGAGGCGATGGTTTCCCGTGGGGAATGAACGGCAAGTGGCGGCTTCAGTGCTGTCCACTCTGAGCACTGTGCAGACCAGCTTAATGTCCAGTGCTGCAGCCTGTGACCACTCACCTATCTTCCCAGCAGATGACAACTGTCCCAGCTTCACAACTACTTGAAACCAGTACTGTTGCTGTTTTTCTTCTGTTTTCGTAACTTCAGCGATAGGTCAGTAACGTGTTCTGTCCATAAATGGGGGTGAATTTGGGAAACAAAACCGAAAGCAGCTCAGTGGCTGTCAGTGTAGATCTTCATGTGCCCAGGCATTCAGGGACCCCCAAAGATAGCATTTGCATGTTGTGCTGACTGCAAACTTGGGCAGTTATAATCTTGGAGGCATTGTTCTCATTTTATAAGATACAGTAAAGGATTGCCTTTACAGTACACAGGAATGTTAAATCCAGGAAGACTCATGCCCTGTTAATCCTGTCCCCTACTACGATGACTCCAAATATTTTTAATTCTACAAAGCCTTTCTGCAGTTTTCATCACCTTGTTTTCCCTAATTCCTTTTTCTGGAATTATACTGGGTCATGATAAGGTATCAGAGGACCAACATGTAGGAACAAGTAAAGAGAATCCTAACATTTTAATATTTTGGAGGAGGATGTGATCCATCTGACTTCATTTTGTTTGGGTTGGCTTTTGCAAACCTTCTTTGACCTGTAGCCAGAAAATTCTTCAGCAGAATTTACAATCCTGCCCCTCTGCACCCAACATGGTTTGTGTGTGTGTGTGTGTGTGTGTGTGTGTGTGTGTGTACACACGCCTGCATGCATGCATGTGCACATGCATAGGTATGTGCTTTGTTCTTGTACTTTATAATAGGTCTGTAGCATACGAGCTGTTAAGTCATTTTATGGAAGTTCTGTGGAAATGCTAATATATACTAGCAATTGTGATCAACACCGCTGTTAATCATCAATGTTTCTGTATCTCTAAAAAAGCCAACAAACCTGAGAACGGTAGTTAATTCTAACAATTGACAACACTGCCACTGGTAGGAGTTTGACATGATTGTTTGAGATACAGTTGAATCTTCTCCATTTACCCTTTTGCTATGTATCAATCATAGAATATGAAATTATTAAAATTACAAACAGGTACCTTTAATGGCAGAAAAACAACTCAAATCTCCAGGACATGGAGAGTGAAGAGATAGAAAATGAACTATTTATTCCATTCCCTGAGTAATACGATAGTAAACTGAAAGGGAAAAGGTCATGCTTTCTGTAAACATGACCTGGGTATGAATATGCTCATGGTTTACATTTTTTCAGATGCACACTTGTGCAACTAAGCATCCTTCCTTCTTCTTAGGCTCCATCTGTGCTCAGGGATGTGTATGACCAGTGATTGGTGAGTGAAGGTGTGAGAAGGTGGCCATACATGCCTTTTCTCTAAGCATACAGCACTTGGGGAAAACTATAAGAAATTTGTGCTTTTGTGGGATACACTGGTCGGCGAATGAGGTAGAAGGAGAAGAAAATAGACTCATTGTTCCTTTATAGTTGTTGCAGGACAGAGATGAAGTGGATGGGGGAGTCCTGGATAATTAGCAGAGAGATATAAGCAGAAAAAAATACATCCATGTTTCTGGGATTTTCTGCTTTCATCATAGGTTGGGAGGCCTTGAGTCCAAATTTTGATCCTCAGCTCTTGATGTCCTTAGTCAACTCTCCTAAATATATCTGAGAAGGCCTGTTGGTTTGTTTCTTTTTCTACTTTGGAGGAGTAAGCTTGTGGCAGGTAGAAAAATGGGCAAATATGAAATTAGAATTACATTGTTATAATAATGCTTTTAATATTTTTGGTATCTGCTTGAGCAAACTTCTCAATATAAAATATGCTTAAAATGCTCTTTTCTAGTATCTATATTATTTTGTGTATATTATGTTATTTTTCAATAGCCTAGGCTGATAATGTCTGGTTGGTACACACCACTGTGGTCCTTTTGGTGATAAAAATATTTAAATAACTATAAAGAGCTGCTGCTCCAACTCCCTGAGTAACCCCTTGCTGACCCAACCCTTCCAACTCAACTGGCTCATGCATCCATAGGACCTCCAGCCCTTCCCTGCCCTTCATTCCACCATTAAGTTGTTAACACCTAGGAAAGCAAGGCCCTCCAGAACTCCTATTACACAAGGGGGCTCTATTTAATTTGGTTGGTATCTGTGCCCTTCCAGTTACTAAATGTTTTGAATATCACACTTAGACAAAATAAGAACGTGTGTATACAGGCACATGTGCACAAGC